GGCTTCTCGGGGAGGGGGGGGCTTTGTGTTTCTGTGCAGGAGAGTGACGAAGCTTCTCTCCTCTTGCAGCCCGGCCGGATCGTTGGCATCGACATGGAGTGGCGTTCCTCCTTTGGCTTCGTGGGGGAGAAGCCCCGTGTCTCGCTCGTCCAGCTGGCCATCCAGGGCAGGGTTTTCCTCCTGGACATGCTGCAGCTGCTCAGGCAGGACCATCAGGGGGAGGAGGAGGAAAGGCTGGCCTGCTTCTTCCAGGCCCTTTTCGCCGATCCTGCCATCACCAAGCTCGGTACGACCCACCCCCACCCCCAGGGTTCCTCCGGCTGGGTCTCATCAGCCGGGCCAACCTTTGTTTCGTCTTTTGCTTTCTCCAGGCTATGGGATGTTGGGGGACCTGTGCAGCCTCAGGGGGACCCGTGTGGCTTTCCAGGAGGTGGGCAAGCAGATGTGCGCCTTCCTGGATCTTCTAGCTGTGCAGAGACAGGTAACGGAGAAAAACGGGGAAAGCCTCCTCTGGCAGCCGGATGGGCTCCTTGTAGCTTAAAAAGCAGGTCACCCTCTGAATAGAAACCCAGGGTCCTTCCATCACCATCCCCGGCTGCTCCAGTTTCTCGCTTCCTCTTACGTTCACAGATATTGTTGCCTCTTCTCTTAACTGCTGGCAACCTCGCATGTCCCTGTTTGGTCTCAGGCCTTCTCTACTGAGCAGTCTGAATATTCATGGACATGCCCTGGCACCTCAGTAGCCGAGTCAGAGTCTAGCAGAATTTGGGCAGGTTCCCAGGGCCAGTATTCAGGGGCATACAAACTGGGACTGGAAGTCTTTTGCAGAAATTTTGAAAGCTCTCTGTCTCTATCTCTATCGATCTATCATCAGCTCTTTCCTTCCTTCCTTCCATCCATCAACTTCCGTCTTTCCTTCTTTCCTTCCTTCCTTCGTTCCTTCCTTCCATCCATCCATCCATCCATCCATCCATCAACATCCATCCTTCTTTCCTTTCATCCATCCATCATCAGCTAACCAATCAACCAGTGACCACTTCTTGAGGCTTCTGGGAGCAGCGAGAGATCTTTTTTGCCTGGGAAAAGGGCAGGGCCCGGGGGGGGGGAAGTCTGGGCAGCCTTGGTGGGCTGTATGGCTGCCCCCTGATTTAGTGTGGAATGCTTTTGGCTGCCAGCAGTGTGTGTCGCTGCCTGGGTTCAGGTGGATTTGCAGGAGGCCTGCTCTCTGTTCCCCGCTCGCGGTGACTCTCGCCCTGCCTCCCCCTTTCCCCTCTGTTCTCCTTCAGTTCCCGAAAGGCTTCAAGGAGGCAAAGAAGGGCTTCCAGGAGGTGGACTCTTTCCCGGCGGAAGGCGGCAAGCAGGTTCGGGGACTCAGCCTGCTGGTGCGGGACCTCCTCGGGAAACCCCTGGACAAGACGGAGCAGCTCTCCAATTGGGACAGGAGGCCTCTCCGAGAGGACCAGATTCTCTATGCAGGTCGGGACGCCCTGAGTGTGGCTGCTGTTGTCAAGGACGCTGCTCAGAGCAGAGGGAAAGAGTCTGGTGGGCCGGGCTGCTCCGTGGGATTCTTTCTGGGGCATCCCCTTAGAGGTGGTGACGGTTTAGCCTGGGTCTTCTAAAGCAGCGGATCTCAAACTGGGGTCCCCAGATGTTTCTGGACTGCAACTCCCAGAAATCCTGGCCAGCACACCAAGGGGTGAATCCTTCTGGGAGTTGTCGTCCAAGAACATCCGGGGTGCTCTTTTGGCCCAAGGGACCAGACCAAGTTTACCTTTCATGAGCTTTGAGGAAAGCAACTTGGCTGTGGATTAAGTTCAGAGAGCTGGATGCGGCCCTGGAGCTGAGTCCCCACCTCCCCAGGTCCTGGCCATTAAATCCTACCACATCTCCTTCCCACCAAGAACGCCTTGGCTGATCAAGCCAGGAGCCACTCTCCCACCCACCTGGGGAGGAGCCGCGATGGTCTACCTGATAAGGCTGTTGTACAGCTCCGTGAGGTCGCTTTGCAGTGCTCAAGGCAGGCTGCGGTGCAGACATTCATATTATTGTGGCATCTTAAAGCCAGGTGTCTTCTGTTTGGTATAAGGTTTCGTGGACTCCGGCCCGATGTCAGCCGTGGCTTACAGTCCACGAAAGCTTGTGCTGGGCAAAAGCGGTCAGCTTGGATGGCTGCAGAAGACATTTTTGTCCTCTGATGGTCTTCCTGCCCCGGAGCAGCGGAAGGAAACTTAGTGGGTGCTTTTCCGCCTGGGCTCCTGCTCCCTGGCTGTTCCCTCTGCAGCGTCAGATGCTTACTGCTTGCTGGAGATTTACGCAACCCTGTTGAAGGATCCGGCGGCCTTTGGTCTGAGTCCCGACCTCATGACGCCTCTGGTGGGCAAGACCTGCCCCGGAGCCAAAGCAAAGAAGTCCGCGAGGCAGGAAAAGGTGCGGAGTCCACACACAGAGGTTCGTTGGTCTCTGCATCTTGGGAAAGTGTGTTTTCCAGCCCCGAATGCTTTTGTGTGTTTGGGCGGAGGTGGTGGTGGTGGTGGAAACAGCACCTCCAACCCACTGAGATCTTGGAAAGTATCAAATCTTTCAGGGGGGGTTTCCTCTCCTTTCCAGATCTCTGAACCAGCTCCGGAAGGGCCCCCTGCCGCTTCGTCCTCCGTTCCGATCCAGGACTTCCGCGTGGTCTGTGACAACATGCTGCAGGGCCTGGGCCGGTATCTGCGCTGCCTTGGGGCGGACGTCCAGATCCTGGAGAACGAGGATGAGCACCGGAAGGCGGCTGAGGTGAGCGGCCCTGAGGAGGCTGGGAGGTTTTGGGGGGAGCCGGAGGGGGTGGCGTGCAGACTCCATGCTGGGTTGCAGTGGAGGCCGGGGTCCAGAGCTTGGGGGGGTCACTTACGTGAAAGGCCGCAGGTTCTTACTAGGAGTTCACTTTGGCTTCTGTTGGGGTGCTTGCTTTTCATCCCCCAAAGACTCCTGCCTTGGGAGGGAGACCGACAACTAGATCTTTGTGGACTTCTCCAGTTTTTGCAGGCTTCTTTTCTGTGACCCCCTCTGGTTATTCATTTGGGGGGGGCAGGGTAGGGATGCAAGAAGATGCTAGGATTGTGAGGTGAGGACTGGTCGGGTGCAATGCTTGAGCCTCCTGGGAGAGCCGGGTTGAAATCTTCACACAGCCATGGAACGCATCCCTTCGTTTTGGCCTCTTCGGCTCCTCCCAGGCACGGGCGTACTCCTTTAAAGGGTGGTTGTCACGTTCACATGGGTACTGGACCTTCCTAGGCCTTTCTTCATTCATCCTAAAAGCAGGCATTTTTCTAGCTGTAACAACAACAGGCTTCTCAAGCGGCGGATTAAACACCAGCTAAAAATCAGCAAAGAGGCATCCACAAAGCAGTTAACCTGCCCAGCTCTGCCTCAGCTCCTGTCTGTGGAAGTAGCCAGGGAGAAAAACTAGAACTCGCTTCCCGGGCTTCCTTACGCAAGAAGAGCCACAAAGATAAGGGGCCTCCACCCCAAAAGACTTCCTTATGTGCCTTCCCATGACCCTTTGCCTGGAATCACATCCTCTCCCTCTCTCGGTTCTGTTTTTGATGCTGCCCAAGTTAAATGAAGATGTCTTTTCTTTTTTCAGATTGCAAGACAAGAAGGACGAGTGATTTTAACCTCTGGCCTTCCGTATCAGACGGTACGCACTACGTTTCCCATGCAGGTGAAAAGATTTTGGGCATGAGGTGCTCAGATCCACTTCAGGGTGTGCGTGGCGGAAAACGGCCTTTTATTATTCTCCTTGCAAAGCCCTCCAGTAACTCCTCCCTGCAACTGGAAAGGCAGCATATCAGGGCAAATTGTTCCCTGCCAGGCTAGATGTCCTCAGGCAGCTTTCCAGCAAACAGTGGGGAGAGGAGTCCTTGTTTGTCACAAAAAGGAGACGTGGCTTGTGCTCTTGAGGTAGACTGCCCCTGTATGTGGAGCTTTTCTAATGGCATCCTGAGCACAGCCTTTTCTTTGTCCTCCTCCCTTCTGAAAATGCCTCGTCCTCAGCCAAATCTATCTGATGTGTTTTGTAGCATATGGTGGAGTTTTGCAAAAGAAGGGTCCTCAAAACAGGACCAGAGGCGAACCCATCACTTCCTAGCTCATGGTCCACCACCGCTGGACACCCACGTTCTTGCATTGTTCTTGTAACTGTGCGCCCCCGACCCCACCCCTGTGAGCTGCTGTGGGGCGTGGGGCCCCTCTGGCGCTGCTCCTCAGAGTCCTCCTCCTTCTCCTCCTCTCTTTCTGCAGCTGCATTGGCAGGTGGGGGAAGGCCACTGCTTCCAGGTGGATTGCTCCGAGAAGGCCAAGGACCAAGCCCTCCAGGTGTTGAAGCATTTTGGGGTCCAGGTCAACCTGGCCGACGTCTTCAGCCGTTGCCAGGTAGGACTCGGCTCCCTCCCTGGGCCTCCCACCGGATGTGTCCGTTTCCCTGGCCGTCCGGAGCCGTGGCTTGTTCGTCAGGCTTCCTTGGCGGGCCTTGCGCCACCTCCAAAGGTGACCGCCGGCGCTTGTTGTTGCCGATGGCGCTCCGTCGCGGCCTCTCCTTGTTTTGCTCCTCTGAGAAGCAAGAGGAAAAGCGGCCGTAGTGGTCAGGGATCCTCCAGGGTTGGCCTGGGTATGGACTAGCCATGTAAGTCAGTGGCAGCGAAACAAACAAACACAAAACAACACACCCGACAAAGAATCTTACGGCCGCTTAAAGGCCCGTAAGCCGTCCAGGAAATGGAACCCAGCTTGTTCAGGGGTGGCCGGAGAAGCTCTGGCCAAACCAAAGGCTTCTGCTTCTGTATTTTTTCGCTCTACTCCTGGCAACTCTCCAGTGACCCCCTCATCAGAGTCGTGTGTGTGTGTGGAGGGTCGACTGGGAGAACAAGGCGCCTCCCTGGTCCCCTGCTGAACAACAACCAGAGGCAAGAGAGAGAAACGCTGGCTTCTTACTTGGCGGCCGCCACCTCTCTCTCTCTCTCTCTCTTTTCCTTTGCCCCATCATCGGTTGGCCACCCCGGCTTGTGGCTGTGAAGTTTCATCATGTGAACCCAGGAAGGGAGGGAGGGAGGGGGTGACTTTTAGGAGGAGAGGAAGAGGCACAGCCCCTTCCCTCCCTTGGAGGCCTTTGCAGGCCACTTTGAAGCCAGCCTGGGAACCTCGGTCTCTATCGGTTGATAATTACTAATATAGATCCCGCAAAGCTGTCATTGGGGTTAGCAAGTGCGACGGGAGCCTTGCAGTGAAGTCTGCCCAGGGGTGAGGGGTGTGTGTGTGTGTGTGTGTGTGAGTGCGCACCACGGTTCCTTTAATGTGGGCCCGGCGGATGACTCCAAAGGCTGCTGGGAACGCTCGGCCCTCTTGGTTCTCACTGCCGATCACCCACCTTTGCCTCCTCGGATCTGGGGCGCAGGGGTTTGGAGGCGAAGTCCCTCCGTCCCTGGCCAGAAAGAGAGGGGGGGAGATTTCAGCCCAAGCCGGGAGCTTCCTTTCAGCTCCGGTTGTCTACTTTCTTTTTCTCACTTGGTCCAAAATCTGTGAAGTTTTGCTCTTTCCTCCTCTCTGCGGCAAGCTGAAGATGAGCAGAATCCCACCACCACCACCACCCCTGATTTTAGGGCTCGCTTCCCTCATTATTCCTTTTTTTCCCCCCCAAACTGCTGCTAGATTTGGCCTCCATTTCTGCCCTAAAGCAAAGGGATAGGAAAGAACGCATTACGAGTACTACACAGGATTTTTCCAGATGGGGAGGTGCCTGCAGCTTCTCTGCATGCTCTGTGGCCTCCATCCTGCCTCTTCCCAATTATTTTTTTGCCTGCGTAGTGAATAGCGATGTGTCTCGACATAGAGGTGGGAGCGGATCCTTAGGCCACCGTTCTTCCTTGGCTGCGGCCGGGGTGCCGGGTAAGGTTTCTGTATGAGTTACTTTCTAAGCTGGACTGATGACCTAGAGTCGGACCCCTCCTGATGATCCTTTTGCTTGGGAAGGGGGCTTTCTCAACCCAGCACCCCCCTGACCTATTAGAGGGATTCACTCTGTCTCCCTCGGTGCCTGTGAACGTGGGGTGGCCTCGCGCAACACATCGGGAAGGTGTTCGGCTGGAGAAGACCACTCTGCAGGGAGAGTGTCAAGATGTTTGCCTCCAGCATCTGGTGCTTAGAATAAGGTCGCTTCTAACTTCGCCTGTTCTCTGGACTTGTCCCCTTGCTGATCACGGCCAGAGACCCACCAGCCGCCGACTTGCTCTAATCCTCGTTCCTTTTTCCTAAAGTTGGTAGCCTTAGGCAGGAGCCTCAAGGGGGGTGGGCGGGGGGGGCTCCCAAGGGGTGACGGTCCCCTTGGGAAGCACCCTCTGGCTGTGTGGGGTTCCCACCTGGCTCTTCCCAGCTGTCTCGGCTTTGCTACCGCTAAGAGTTACCTCCTCCTCTTCCTGCTTCTTGGTCCTTTCAATGTCTGTAAAATTTCCCAGGATTGCCTCTGACCGAGGAGATGGGGATGAGGATGAGGATGGTGGAATGGGCTGGCCATTGTCCGGAGTCTCACCCGCAGAAGCTGCTCCCTCCTCCTCCTCCTCCTGATGGCTCGGTACTGCCTAGTTCCCACAGGCTGTGTATTTTCCTGCCAAGATCTCAGTATCTTCAGAGATCCAGTGAAGCATGAAGGTCATGACAAGCGAAGAATGAGAGGCTGGGATTCCTCCTCACCCCCCTTTCCACCAACCCCATGGGCTCTGCCTCCCGGCTTCCACTTTTTGCCCACAAGCTGTAGGCTGTTCTCCGTCTGTCTGTCCGACTCTGTCTCTCTCTCTCTCTCTCTCTCTCTCTGTCCATGGTGGGTCATTCATTGTTTTGGAGGGCTGCTGTGCACAGATTTACAGAGAAAGGAGCTGGATGCTTTTTTTTTCTGCAATAGAGGACCATCGTGCTGTAGGTTTGAGGAGTCTGTCTTTGTCACACACCCTGGAGAAGTTCCTTGCAGTTAAGAATTTGGAGAAAGGCTGCTACATACAGTTGCATGGTGTGGAGTAATAAGGGCATGAAGATCCCCAGTGTAGTGTAGAAGTTAGATAGAGTGATGGAGTAGGACTCTGGAGATCTGGGTGCAAATCCCCGCTCAGCCATGGGAACTCACTAGGGGAGTGGAATTACTGTAGTAAAACCACTCCTTAAATAGCTTTCTCTCATTCTCTCTCTCTCTCTCTCTCTCTCTCTCTCTCACACACACACACACACACACACACACACAGAGCATGATGAAGTTACATTTCAAAAGCAGCATAATGACTGGGAACTGTCTTATTGGCGGAAGAAGTAAAAAATCACAATGGCTTTATAAAGTTGCTTTGTAAAGATAAGGATTTTCCTAGGTTTATGCTAGAGATGGGCACGAACCTTGATTTGGAGGTTCGTGCTGGTTCGTCAGTGCATTCCCTCCCCCCACTCCACGACCAGCTGCTCCACTCACCAGCCCGTGTGCATTGGTCATCTCCTCCTCCTCCTCATGCGATCGTCCAATCATAGCAGGAGTGCATGGTTCATTCTTCTGCCTCCTCTGGCAACCACCCACTCAGATAAAGAGCCGGGGCCGGGATCTCTGCAGCACTGCCTTTGATTGGGTGGCTGCTGGAGGAGGCGGAGGAGGGAAGCATGTGCCACCAAGAAGCCGGGGCCGGGTTTTCTGCAGCACCGCCTTTGATTGGGCGGCTGCTGGAGGAGGCGGAGGAGGGAAGCATGTGGTCCTGCTATGACTGGACGATCGCGCAAGGAGGAAGAGGAGGAGATCAGCAGTGCACACTGGCTGGTGAGTTGCAGAACTGGCTGGAGGGTAGGGAAAGAGAACCTCCAAACCCAGGTTTGTGCCCATCTCTAGCTTATGCCATTCTCTTTTTAATCCTTATTATGAAAGTAACGGACAGAGCAGCAAGTTACTTTTCAATAGTTCCAAAAGTAGTTACAGTGAGTTACTTTTGAAACACTTTTTGGCAAGTAGTGGGAACAAATTACTTTTAGGAAATAACTTTCCAAGATCTAGTGTGTGTGTGTGTGTGTAAGGCTTGCCTAAGTCAAAGAGAAAGGGGGTCTGAGTGAAAACCCTTCCCATGAGTTCTAGGGAGAAAAGGAGGAGAGGATGGAGGTGGACTTTCCGATTTATCCAACCTGTCCAGCTGCATCTGGGTTTTTGGTCCCAGAGAAAGGTGGTGCTTTAGAGCCTGTCGCAAGCTGCACATGGCCAGGTTCTGCTCCAGATGATGCGTTTGGAGGAGGAAGATGGGAGGGGGAGAGGAGGGGGTTTTGGTGGACAGATCGCTGCCCTCGCTGCCCTGAAGCGAAGAAGGGGAAGGTCCCCGGGAGACCAATAGAGAGGGCTGGCCAGAGGGGGGCCGATGACGTGGCCCCTCCTCCTTCCCACGTGCCCGAAAGAAGTCCGTGGCGTGAGAAAGCCCGCTGCCACCCATGGCCCCTTCTTCACCCAGCTGGCCTCCTGTCCCTGGAGTCTCTCTCTCTGCTGTCAGAGTTCAGCCTTCCCGATGCGGGCCTTCCCAGGCCTTTCCTCCCGGTCATTTTTTTTTTTTTGTGGCAGGCGGGCGGTGCACAGCTTTTTTTTTTTCCGCCTGGGCTCTGCTGCTCTGCTGTTCTTTTCCAAGCTTGCAATGCCTAACCACTGTGGTATTTTTCCAACCTTGCAATGGGAAAACTCATTCCTTTTTTTGTTTTGTTTTGCTTTTAAGTACCTTTCCAAGGCCGGCACTGTCCAGAGGTGGCCCTTAGGGGGGGTCATCTCAGAACTTTTGGGGAACCTCCTGGGGGGAGTCATGCAGTGCTTCTCAGGGTCCGTCTGCAAAGGGCTTGATTGACGGGGGTCGGGGAAGGGGAGACCAATCGGGAACCACAAGCTTGCCTTTCAAACACACACACACCCCTTTACATTTTTAAATGTTGCCCCTCCAGGAAAGGCACCTGTTCAGGAGGTAACTGTAGGGTCTACCCCTGAAAGCCCCACCTTTGTTGGCCTTTCTCAGATCCCACACTCTGGCTCAAGGCAGAGCTGGCCTGGGCTCCCTCCCTCTCCCTCCCACCCCCACCCCACCTCACTGCCGGGAGTACACGCCAAAGCCCTGCAAGAGAGGAGTCTTGGGTTACAGCGGCGAGGAGAATTGGTTATGCAGGGTTCATGGCAGGGTTGGTCCAATTGCATTAGAGGACAGAGCGAGGGAAGGTAGCGTGAAAGCCGAAGCTGGCTTCGGAGGGGCTCGGCCTCCTGATTTTATAGGCTGGGAAGGGACGTGACCCCCCCAGCCTGGGTTTGCCTCCGAAACAGACACTCGGCCTCCGTCCCATTTTGTTCCCTCGGCACTGCATGGGGTGATGTGAGCGCAGAGCGGCCTTCTCGGCCC